ATACACCAAATTGATACAAGCAACAATCAATAGAGCTATATTGACTCATGGGATGTATAATATGGATAAAACAGAACCTCCCAAACCTGAGTCTTGCCAAACCTGAGGACTATTGCTCACTTCTATAAAAACAACAAAAGGAGCCTAAATAACATTTATCCTGAATCCCCATCAGCTCGTGACATGCTTCTTCTCCTCCTGCTAAAGCTGTTCTGCATTCATTTTGAATATCACACACATACACACACACACACACACACATACACACATATACACACGCATATAATATATATGCACATACATGCCTATACATATATATGTCCTGTGAAAATGGATACCTTAATTTGCTTGAGCCCCAATTTTTCAGGTAGCTGAGAAGGGCTGAATGATAAAACATGCAGAAAATCAGCAACTTTAAAGCCAGTGAAGTACATACCAGCTGTGAAGCAGACCCTGAGCTATTTGGTGGTTAGGGACCTACAAGAGACATCCTTTTCTTCAGAGATTCCCCTAATTTTTGGTTATGGGACTCTTGGACACATCCTCTTTTATGGTTTTTGGAGACATTCCCCTAGTCTTGTTGTTTGTACTCAAGCCTTGAATTTGCTTATCGCCAATCTGTAAAAATCTATAAAAATTCCCACCTTTTCTCCTTCCTTTGTTTAAAAAGTACAAAATGCCTCACTCTTTCCAACTCTGCTTTGAACAGATCAGACACTTCCAGCTTGCAAGCTGGTTCTTCTCAGGCAATAAATGTATTTATAATCTATATAAACTATGATAGGACTGTGGTTGATTGCAGCTTTCCCTTTTTGGACCTAATATTTCTCTCATTTAGCAGTTCACAGGGGTTTTTCTTATTTGTACACATGGTGTCTCCTTCAGGAGAATGTGAGCTCCTTGAGGCCATGAACTGTTTCATTTATGGCCTTGCATCCCTAGCACCTAGAGCAATGCCTATTTATCCAAGATATAAAATACTACAAGATTTTGTCAAAGAGACTCACAATTGCCCAAAAGAGATCAGTCTAAAAGTTTACACAGAAAAACAAATGGATGAAGAAGGCACTGAGAAGATTAAATTGATTGTGTGTGTGTGTGTGTGTGTGTGTGTGTGTGTGTGTGTGTATTTACTGATCCTATATATAGTTAATTGATTTTATCCTGTAACTACCTAAGTCATGGTTCTTTGTCTGTGAACTTAGTTCAGAAATTCAACTGGTCTATAATGAGTTAAGTTTAGAAGTCTAGTTGTTGTTTTTCCAATCATTGTTCTATTCTTGCCTCAAGGAAATCTGCTATCCTTGGAGAATATGAACAGACACAAGGAAGTCTGGTCTAATATCTTTATATCACCAAGCTCTCCTTCAAGGATGTCTGGTTTGGTATCCAAAGAAATCTGGGCCACTATCTTTTAACCTTGTAGATAGATTCAAACAATGGACACTTCTTAGTCAATCACATTTAATGTGATTTTTCACTTTCAATCAAGACACACACATACAGACACACACACACACACACACACACACACACACACAAACTTTGTAAATTCTATTCACAAGAAAACATTTGGTCTTCTTGACATACAAAGAGATACCATAGCCAGGGGCCAAACCAATTGAGAATACAAAGTTATTCAGAAAATTTATCAGAAGATGGGAGAAGACTGTGAGAAATATTGCCTTCTAAAACAGTAAAAAATAATGGAGCAGAGAATGAAGTTTATAAAAAGTTTGGAAAAGGACCTAATAGTGTCAGATTTTCAAGAGAGCCTGTAAGGATAAAACTGGAAGGATAACAGACTAAAATATTAAAAGCTTCATCAAGATTTCTGTAACAAGCTTTTCCATCTTGATAAGTATACAGCCACTACATGTGGACTAGCTCTAACATCACAATCCCCATTGATACTAAATACTAGAAATAACACCAAAGAAAATAAAAGGAAAAGAAACTGAGCTAGTTCAGTATAAAGGGAAGTCTGTTCTGAAGACAACACATTTTTAGGGATCTTAAAAGTACAATTCATAAATTATCTCAAAGAGGGGGAAAAATGAAATGCTTAGAATTATTAGTTTAAAAAAATAAGTGATTGAGATGGTATCTCTAACTATTGGCCCATATGGCTACTTTTTAATCTCTATAAAAACTTCGTGACATGAATTTGCACATGTATCAAAGGCATTTTCCTGAAAGCTTTGTATTCTCTTTGATGTTTTTTTTCTTCTTTATATTATTTAGTATCTGCTGTGTTGAATTATCTCCTCATACGTAGGCTTTGTATCTTTTTGGATAAGCTTTTTCACTTACTTTTTTATTATATCTTCACTCATTTTAAGGTTCCCCTCTTTCTACTGGTGAGCAGAATCCTCCTCCCCCAAAGCTGGGCTACAAGAGTGTTTTGGTAGGGTTCACCAATATAGCCCTAAGTTCTTAGTAACCCCTGGAGAGAAAGTCCTGATCCTGGCTGAGTTTCCATCCCTTTAGCCCTGATTCAAAATAGCTCTCCCATCACTGACATTTCTCCTAATTCTCTTCCTTCCTGCTTTCTCCCATCCTTCACAGAGCTAAGCATAGTAAATTATTTTGCTTCTTCTAAGGTGAATAGGGTGGGTGAATTAAGAGGCAGAACCCCTTCAGTCTTGGGGCATACTTAGCTCTAGGACTGAACTTCAATCAAAGGGTAGGTAAAATTCAGCACTCAGCGTATTTCCTTTATAGTCTTCCTTTCCTTCATGTGTCTGGACAGAATCAATATTTCCTCTTTCTTGAATAACACAGAGTAGATGTTTGTGGACAATCATCGAAACAGCAGGATAGCCCTACAATTAGGTCAAACCTCAAAAGAAGCCTACAAGTTGCATTGTGCTCTTTCTTCAGGCACATATACTCTGTTGATGAGGGGACCCTGAATGAGAACTCTAAGTATTCAAGTTTTCTATTGTCAATTAATAAACGGTATTACCTTATTGGGGAGTCTCTCTTTTCTAAATTTATCTATGGTTTTATCTAACATAAAATTCCTTTTTCTGATGTTTGGAGAGTCAAGAAAAAGTTTGAAAAAAAAATCTGTCACTAATGTTTTTTTTTAATGTAGGAAACCATTAAGAAATAATTAGAACAGACCACACTGAGATGGCTACTCCAATGATGAGACTATCAACCACTTTATATGTTGTTGTTTATAATGATGAGGGTGGTGCCCAAGCCAAGATCTTCACCCTTTGCCCCAAAGGGAATCTGACTGACAGGCCCCCAGATCCTCATCTCCCTTTGAAAGCCTTAGCCTCACCTTTTAATCTTAATTCAGATCTGGCTCCCTTTTGTCTATAAGGCCCCAGAAAGGCCTTCCTTTATCTCCTTTTGAAAGTCCTAGCCCCACCTTGATTTTGTTCATATGCCTTTCAAACTTCTGCCTTCCTGTTCCCTCCATTATCTATTCCCATTGTCTATTCAATCTCTCTGACCTCCCCAATTAGAATTCTTACTTAGACCCTTTTCCCAACCCCCTTCTCTGACCACCCAAAATTACTTTAGTATTTATGATCCACCTTGGCCCTCATTCAGATGCTGAGAATCTCAGGCCAACAAGGCTAAGAACCTCTCATGCCTGCTTGTCTTTATGGGCGTCACCTGGTCAATGTGATTTATCACTAATAAACTTTTCCTCTGGCTGAAGAAGATTTGAGTTGAATTCATTCAGCAGGGCCCGGTACCACGATCTTGGGGTCCCAGCACCCTTAGACCTCTTCAATTCTTCCTTCTCTTCTCAGAGGGCCATGACACCAGGAAAATGAGGCCATGACTTGCAAGTGAATTGGATTTAAGTTAGGCAGGGCTGTGCAGTCACCAGTCTCACTTTCTCCTCTGGAGCCATCTGGGTCAGAACCATTGGAAATGGCATCAGAGGTAGTGGCAGATCTTAGCCTCTGTAAGCTAAGATCTTTCCTCTCAGTCTGGTGAGGTTTCAGGGATCAAAATTTACAGTCCTTTGCACAAAGCATCCACAGGTAAGGGTATGATACCCTATATGGACAAGAGAAGAGAGGAGAGGAGAGGAGAGAAGAGAGAGGAGAGGAGAGGAGAGGAGAGGAGAGGAGAGAGGAGAGGAGAGGAGAGGAGAGGAGAGGAGAGGAGAGGCGAGGCGAGGCGAGGAGAGGCGAGAGAGAGAAGAGAAGAGAAGAGAAGAGAAGAGAAGAGAAGAGAAGAGAAGAGAAGAGAAAGAGAGAAGAGAAGAGAAGAGAAGAGAAGAGAAGAGAAGAGAAGAGAAGAGAAGAGAGAAGAAGAAGAAGAAGAAGAAGAAGAAAGCAAAGGAGGAAATTGAGTTCCAAGCATGACAAAGGGAATCAATAAAGGTAGTAGAGTAAGGTTCAGATTTCCAAACTTTATAGGTTTAACAGAGCAAGCTAATGTGTTAACAAAGTGAGTCAAAATGACCACTTCGATTAAACCAAAAGACCATAAGAAAGGAAGACAATTTAGTTTTATAAAAGGATGGCACAAAATCTGGAGCACCGTGTGTCTTTTTTTGATTGGCCTGACATCACATCATTAAAACCCTGATTGGTAGTATTTTAATAAGGAGGTGGATTAAAAAAAAATCACCTCAGCTCCTAAATTGTAGTGACCCTTACTTGATAGGATTAGTCTGATAAATCCTTGCCCTCAAGGAACTTACATTCCAAAACTATTCCTTTATTTATTATACAATAATGCTTTAAATGGCTCATATTTATGGATTCTCATTTTTTTAAGTAAGGAAGCTATTTCTAAACCATATAAGCAATAACATAAATTAGAAGTTCTATCGAGAAAATTCAGAAGAGTCTATGTTCAAGAGAAACACTAATTCTTTATAAGTATGTACCACTCCATTCCTAATAGTAGAGTACTTTGCTTTGAAGAGGGGAAAACAGTGAAAAATATTTTAGTTCTTTAATTCAACTGTAAAGCAAATTGGCTAAACAACACTTTCAAATAATAACACTTAATCTCACCTTTTCCAGTTTGGAAAGAGCAAGAGAGTAACAGTCTTTGGCCCGGAACTGCATAAATCTCATGTTGGCTGGGTGAGTGAGTTCTGTGATAATACTTAGACTTGAGAACAACCTGAATTTTAAAGAAACATCATAGTTATACTCACAGCAATCATAATTCAACATTAGTACATTTTGAATGGCATCATTTAAAAATATATACAATTATGTGTGATTCCTAGCTTAGGACATTAAAAAACAAAAACAAAAAACTCCACAGTGATAATTGTAAGCAATTCTTTGTGAAATTCTTCATATGTATTGTGAGGAGAACAAATGCTGCATTTTTCTAAAGAAGAGATAATCCAACATTTTAGCACAATAATGAAACTATGTTTAGTAATTGGACTTTTATTAGACTTTTTCTTTAAATTCACAGAATCATAAAGTAAGAGAAACTTGTAAGGCTGATTTAAGAAGTTTTAAGGTGATTATAAGTAGTTGTAGATTATATTTCTCATGATGAAAAGTATTAAAATGGAAATTTACAGAATGAATATACTGATTGACATAATTTGCATATAATGGGCTTTTTAGCTAAGATTTCTGATGTCCTATAGCTCTCTTTCCTAGGCAGCATGTAATTTTATATGTAAAATCTTGTCATAACACACTCAAGTAGGAGCAGAGATCTCTAAGCCCCTTCTATCTATAAATCTATAATTCTTTATACCTCAATCTTCAAGTCTTCTCTTCATGTGCATTGTTTCTTCAATCAACCATCTTATTTAAAAGTAGCTTTGATTTATTAAGGGTTTGTGATAGATAGCTAACAGTAAATAATAGTACATTTTATTTTTAAAATATCATCAATGTAATATTTATTTAAGTTCAGAAATATTTCTTACCTATATATATATATATATATTCCACATAAAATATATACTCCATGTATATACACACATCCTCCACACAAAATATATAAATTCCTGGGATGAAATGTTTAAATTCTATTCATTTACATTAAGCTATTACCCCCCCAATCCCTCCTTTTTCCACTCAATGGAAGAATAGGATTAAAGCTCTCTGAAAAGACTTTTAGAACATTGTGTTCTACCCTACCTAAGGCTCTGAGGGAAAGAAGGTATCCAATTGCCTTGGTTACCTTATTTATAAACCTTCGAGTTGGCAAAGACAAAACCTGAAAAGTTACCATTTATGAGACAGTGATCATCAAGAAAAATGTCATGCAGAAGAAGGACACCAAATTTAAATGGAAGGTACATAATAGAGGTTCCCAAATGAATGGTTTTAAGGCTATTGTAGTTGAAATGGTCTGGCAGTCACAAACAGAATCCCCTTCCAAAGGTTTATTATGCAAGTAGCTAAAGAACATGTGGCTTTGTCCATGGAAAATGCCTTTGAGATATGAGGAAGAAACCTCATAGATACTGTCTTAGAAATTCCCCACTACTGTAGTTGGCAGACATTTCCCTGTCTCAGTGAATTTTCTGAGCTTGAGAGTATCCTTGATACTTAGACCTCCAGCAAAGACTTCATGAGGCACACATAATCAGGACTGGGTTGATCTCAAGACCGGTCACAGGTAAGTAATATTTTGTCTAAAAAATTTATTTAAGTGAAAATCCCTAACAAGGAAGCAGGTCCTTTTACTTTATCAGGAATCCTGATTTGTGTTTTTCAGACCCCCAGCAAAAGACCTCACATCTTTGGGATTCAGGACATGTCAATGAAAGGAGAACTGTAGAACACCCACTGCTCCTTAAGGCCATTATAAAACTGCTAACTTCTTTCAGAGTATCTATCAATAACAAATATGCAAGCAAACCAATTGTGAGCATGCTCTATGTGTCAGGGTACAGAAATACTTTGAACCCAGTAGCTTTCTGCAAATACAACTACAATTCTATGCTAATAACCCATATTGATAACATGCTTTAAATACAAAACACATTTCTCATAACAACTTTGAGCTGAGGTAGATAGTATAAGTCATTATTATACCCATTTAACTGATGAAGGAAGTGAGGCTTAGATAACTTAAGTGATTTCCCTATAATGGCAAAGATTTAAATCTAAGTTACAAGTTTCAAGTCTAGTGCTTTTTCTACCATACAATGCTACAGCTGCTATATTATGCCACAACTACCAAAAGCCAGTCCCATATTTCCATGCCATTTTTATAGTAGGGAAGGTTTTTCATTTGTTTGTTTGCATGATATTGGATTTCTGTTATGAAAGATGAAAGGGGTTTGATAAAGATAGAAGAAATAATGTTTGAAAACATTATATTCATACAATTAATTATTGAATACTTACTATGTATTCAATCTTCAGTATGAGAGGAATGATTTATCGTGCCCCTATCTCATTCCAATCAGTGTTAATTAGTTTAGTGTGATTCCATAGAGTTAGTGATTATTAGTGATATGCTTATCTATTAGTACATTTAGTCAGTCTAGTCAATTAATATCAGTATAGGAATTATATATATTAATGTATCTTTTTACATATATTATATTTAAGAATAATTAGATAAGATAGATTCTTTCTTATAATAGGTCCCAAACTTTAAACTACATGGTACAAGTTCACTAGCTTGTTAAGCTATAAATCACGGATTCATTAATCTGTTATAAAGTTCATTTCCCTAGCCACAAGAATTCTGACTAGAGGAACTCCAACCTTTTAAATGATGATTATGTGACCAAGCCTAGTGTGGGCAGGATGTCTTGACGTGATATGGAAAGTCCCCCACCTTATTTTTGTGCCTCCAGACCACTCTCCCTTACTCTACATGAGGAGGAGCCCATCTTATGACCACTTAGAGGAGATGACACCTGCCTTGCACATCCTGTGACCAGCTCTGCTGATACATCATTTCTGGCCCTCTTGGAGGGTCAAAATCAAGTTTTACCACCCTATGGGACTCTGTATTTTACTTTGCCTCTTCTTGTGTCTGGGTATCAAGCACTATAAAACTAAGGCCCTGGAGAAAAAGAACATCTTAGATCATGAGGAAAATTTGAAGTCACTTCATTAGAGGGGGCCATGGATTCTTTCATAAAGTCTATTGACTCAGAGCTCTGCCTCAGTTTCTTTTATTGTAGAATTGGACAATTTTGGACCCCACAACTATAAGGATCATCAGATCCAGTGTCATTTGGAAGAAGAAACAGTCATACATGTATGAAACTTTTTTTTAACAAAAGAGAATAAGATAAATGTCAGTATATCTCTATATATCCATAAATTCTAGATATGTAGACATATAATATTATAAAGAGATGAAAGAGAGAGAGAGAGAGAGAGAGAGAGAGAGAGAGTGAGAGAGAGAGAGAGAGAGAGAGAGAGAGAGAGAGAGAGAGAGAGAGAATGAATTAGAATAGTTTTCTTGGTGACAATCCAATGTGGTCTGAGTTGATAATGGAGAAGTGTATAGTGGAGACAGGATAATAATTTTGTCAGGTTTGTGCAGACAGGATAATAATTTTGTCAGGTTTATGCAAATTGAGAAGAAAAGGCATTTTACACATTCATCAAGGTCACCTCATAAAGACAGACTTTGAGCACATGGATTAGTGAGACATAATAGAAGAGAGACATAAATATTATAGTTTGAGTAGTATTATCAGATTACTTGTAGACTTTATACTCAGAAGACATATAGCATAACTCTTTGTCCCTATGTTTAGGAAAGCCATTTAAAGCCTGGAGACTAAGTAAATGAGAGTTTTTATTATTACATAATCTGATTAACATGCTTTTTTGTAGAAAAACACAGGTTTACTAGAACTGTAAATACATTTTAATGCAATTTTAACAAGCATGTAATTTGAGTTCCACGCCATGCAGGGAGCCCAAACAAAACAGCATTCATAAAGTACTACCGAAAAAAAAATTAGCTCTTATACCATTCACTACAATAAACCCTAAATGGATATATGACCTGAACATTAAAGACCATACCTGTAAAAGAATTAGAAAAAAACTTGATTATATATCTTCCAAAGCTATAACTAAAGGATGAATTCTCAGGCAAACAAGGGTTGGAGACAAATACAAAATACACAATAGATAATTTCAATTATAAGAAAGTGAAAAGCCATTGTATGAGCAAAAATAATGTAATAAGAAAGGAAATAATTGCCTGGGGAAAAATATCTGTATCAAATGTTTCTGATAACAATACAAGATCCAAGATACAAAAAAAGAAAACTATAAATATGTGAGACTGAAAGCCATTCCATAATAGATAAATAAAGCATATGAACAATTCCTTCCCAAAAGAATGACTGCAAATTAATGTCAAGCATAGGAAGGAACACTCCAAAACATTAACAATGAAAGAAATACAAATTAAAATAAAATTGAAGTTTTACCTCACACTGAACAGATTGTCAAAAACAACAAAAGATAAGAATAGTCAAGATTGTGCAAAGACAAGTAACTTAATTCATTATTTGTAGAGCTATGAATTGGTCCAACCATCCTACAAAGCAATTTAGAATTATTCAAAGAGACTGACTAAAGTGTCTCTATACTTTGACCCAGATATTCCACTGCTAGGTATATGTCCCAAGAAACGGCCCACATGCACCAAAATATGCATAGTAGCATTTTTCTGGTAGAAAAGAACCAAAAAAAGAGATGCATATTGATTAGAGAATTGCTAAATAAACTGTAGTATATGAAGGTCATCAAACATTAATATATGGTAAGAAACAATGAATATAATGAATGAAGAGGTGTGAATAAACTTACGTGAAGAGATGTGAAGTAAGTACTGGAACCATGACAACAATATAGTAATGGAAACAGAGATAACAACCACAAAATAATTGATATTTAACCATCTTGGCCACAAAGAACAGAGATGAGAAGACACCTACCCCTGGCTCTTTGAGTAAGTGGTATAAATTGATGTAGAATACTTAATAGAATGTTACACATTTGAATAGATTGGTTGGTTTTGCTGAACTTCCTCAACCCCACCCACCCCCTTATTTTCTTTTCCTTTGTTACTTCTGGTAGACTCTAGTGAAAGAAGAAAAAAAAAGAGGTATATTTGGAGGGGAAACTTCTTTTTTCTAGCTGTATCAAATGATTTTT